TTGCTCTATCTTCATGTTTTTATCTTCAATTTTACCTCAATTGATATTGTTACCACACTTTAAGTTTGCCAAATAGAAGTTCTGTCCAACTCTTTTCAGAGTCATTTTGTTTGAAGCATGTGCCTTATAAATAGCCTTACATATTATTTTGTGGCCCAGTCTAAGTTTTTTTCTTTTTTTATGGAAAAAAAGTTTTTAAAAAAGATTATGGGAATGTCATATTTTTGTTATTAAAAAATTCAAAAATATTGTGTAAAACAAAAAATCAAGGTCCTTTGCTGATACCCTATTCATTTCCTAGGGGTAACTCATTTCCTATGGGTAACTACTGTTACCACTATGTTTTCTCTGTTCAGTTCTCTTTCTGGGCATTTGCAAGTGGATATACTCTCTACTACCCCCATTAGACTTTCGGATTAGACCTTAAATAATGTTCTGAAATGTTTTTTACTCAACAGCACAATGCAGAGTGTCATTATATGGAGAGTGACAATGCTTCATGTCAATATATGGATATCTACTTCATTCCATTATAGATATACCATTGACTTAACCACATTCCAGAAATTTGTATTGTCTATAGTTGGTTGGTTAGTTGGTTGACTTTACCAGCACTGAACATTCTTCCACATTTAATCTCATCTACTTTTGTGAGTACTTCTGTAGGATAGATTTCCTGGAATAGATTTTTAAATTAAGGGAGACATTCATTTAAAATTTGATAGAAACTGTCAATTTACTTTTCAACAAGGTGGTAACAATTCACATTCCACTAATTATATATAAGATTGTCTTATTTTTGATAATATTGTATGTTATCAGTCTTTTTAATTTTGATTAATTGACAAAAAGCCTCATTATTATTTTAGTTGCATTTCCCTTCTTGAGCATCTTTTCATATCTTTATTAGCTCTGTATATCCTTTTCTGTTAAGCCAGTATTTATAGCTTTCTGTTTTTCTATTGGATTATTTTATTATTTATTACTTTTTAATTATTATTATTTTATTATTTATTATTATTTTATTATCGTTTTTAAGGGCTTCTCCTATATAAAGGATATTAACAGTTATCTCATGATTTATTTGTTTTTGCTACAAAGAAATTTTAAAATATAATGAAGTTATTTCAGTTTTGTTTGTTTTGCCTTGGTTTCATGTTATGCTTAGAAAAGTTTTTGTATTCCAGCAAAATATAAAAATTCTCTGATGTTTTCTTTTTATATTTTTACAGTGTTGTTGGGCTTGACTTTTATTGGCACAGTTTAATTTGTTAATATTTCATTCTGTTTCTATAATCTTAATGTTTTAAAATGTTTTCTTAATATTTCCTGCTTTATCTTCCTCTCTTGTTGTATTGCACAAATTGTGTTTGAGTGTTTGTGTGTTTGTATGAGTTTGATATGGAGGTTATATACCTTTTTCTTTCTGTTATACTAGTTTTTTTTTTTTAATAGCAAGAGAAACACATTAATTTATTTTCCCCAATGATGTCAAGAAGCAAAATAATATCTGCTGATTTCTCCCTGATGTACCTCTATTACTTCCAATCCCTCACACGCTATTTTGTTGTTGTTGGTGGTGGTGTTGAAAAAATACTGGCTTTAAATTCCGATGATTACTGTATTTTAAGGGCTTTTATCTTTTTGTGTTTTATTCAAAAATATTTTCTTTTTGTGTTGTATTAGTATGTCAACGTTTATGTACAAGGATAGCAAATGCTTGGTATGTGTACCTACACTAACATACTGATGGAACAAAACACCAAACATTTTCTGTAGCCATAAAATAGGATAGGTTGGGTCCTGTCCTTCTGGTCTGTACCAAAGGCTGGACTCTGGGGACTTTGAGCAGGCTGATAATTTGGTACTAGTTCAGGTCTATATTCTTTATATATTTATTCAACATTTTTTTTTAGGGGAGGAGCTAAACAGTAAGTGGGAAAAGAGAACTCTAGCTTCTTTTTTATTATCCCAGGTAGTTCAGCTTTGGCTCCAAACTCATATCCTGACATTAGTAAGTGAGTCCTGTGGTTAACTTCATCTGCCCTCCTTTACTTGTGGTTGTTGTTGGTGGTATGGGCTCGGTAGTGTTGGAGAGGATGGGCTTACTGCACCCCTTCAAGCAATTTATCAGGGTTTTCCTTCCAGTTTGGTTCTGCCCGTTACACAAAGTAAACAATGCCAATCAGAACACCCTTTTCCACTAAGAACTTGGAAGTTTTCTGTTCCCTAAAGTAAGTCTGCCAGATGTCAACACATTCCATCTTATTTCTATGACCTTTTTAATGCTTCAAGCATCCACTATAAATTATTTATTGAAAGAAAAGTCTCCTTTTAGCTGAATGGGAAAGTTATTGGTAAATACCTCCTCAAAAGCTTATAGATATATAAAAAAAGTATTTTGAGATCTTTATTTGGAGAAATGGGTGGGTGGAGGACAGGTGAGGAGTTACTTATTACTGTGGAATCTTTTGTACTTTAAAAATGCCTAATCATATAAATATACTTCTTATATAAAAATTAGTTGAAAATTATTAGACAATTTGGGGATCCTCTTACTCTACAATAATGTTGAAACCTATGTATTTTTAGAATAATGAAGGTAGCTATTGACATTGCATTGTTCTCTGATTGTCCTTTATTTCATTAGAGCATTTAAACATTCTGATTTTGTGTAGTTGGTTGCCAAAAAAATTTTTTTAAATAGCACTCCACAGTCTTTAAGAAAAGTTAGCCTTTTTTTCTAACTTACCCCAAAAGAACAGCTTTTCAATAAAAAATTTTTTCTGGAGATATGTTTGTTGGATTAATCCTTTCTGCCCGTGGATGCCCCCGAGTAAGCATCGTCAAAGTCTGCCCTCCCACCGCCGTCATGTCTAAGTCAGAGTCTCCCAAAGAGCCTGAACAGCTGCGGAAGCTTTTCATTGGAAGTTTGAGCTTTGAAACAACCGATGAGAGTCTGAGGAGCCATTTTGAGCAATGGGGAACGCTTACGGACTGTGTGGTAATGAGAGATCCAAATACCAAGCGTTCCAGAGGCTTTGGGTTTGTCACCTATGCCACTGTGGAAGAGGTGGATGCAGCCATGAATGCAAGGCCACACAAGGTGGATGGAAGAGTTGTAGAACCAAAGAGGACTGTCTCTAGAGAAGATTTTCAAAGACCTGGTGCCCACTTAACTGTGAAAAAGATTTTTGTCGGTGGCATTAAAGAAGACACTGAAGAACATCATCTAAGAGATTATTTTGAACAGTATGGGAAAATTGAAGTGATTGAAACCACGACTGACCAAGGCAGTGGCAAAAAGAAAGGCTTTGTTTTGTAACATTTGATGACCATGACTCTGTAGACAAGATTGTCATTCAAAAATGCTGTACTGTGAATGGCCACAACTGTGAAGTAAGGAAAGCTTTATCTAAGCAAGAGATGGCTAGTGCTTCCTCCAGCCAAAGAGGTCGAAGTGGTCCTGGGAACTTCGGTGGTGGTTGTGGCGGTGGTTTTGGTGGGAATGACAACTTTGGCCATGGAGGAAACTTAATTGGGCGAGGTGGCTTTGGTGGCAGTCGAGGTGTGGTGGACATGGTGGCAGTGGGGATGGCTATAACGGATTTGGTAATGATGGAAGCAACTTTGGGGTGGTGGAAGCTATGATGATTTTGGCAGTTACCACAATCAATCTTCAAATTTTGGACCCATGAAAGGAGGAAATTTTGGAGGCAGAAGCTCTGGTCCCTATGGTGGTGGAGGCCAATACTTTGCCAAACCATGAAACCAAGGTGGCTATGGCGGTTCCAGCAGCAACAGTAGCTATAGCAGTGGCAGAAGATTTTAATTACTGCCAGGAAACAAAGCTTAGCAGGAGAGGAGAGCCAGAGAAGTGACAGGGAAGCTACAGGTTACAACAGATTTGTGAACTCAGCCAAGCACAGTGGTTGCTGGGCCTAGCTGCTACAAAGAAGACATGTTTTAGACAATACTCAAGTGTATGGGCAAAAAACTCGACTGTATTTGTGACTAATTGCATAACAGGTTATTTTAGTTTCTGTTTTGTGGAAAGTGTAAAGCATTGCAACAAAGGGTTTTAATGTAGACTTTTTTTTTTTTGCACCCATGCTGTTGATAGATAAATGTAATAGTCTGATCGTGATGCTGAATAAACATGTCTCTTTTTAAAAAAAATAAATAAATTAATTAAAATAAATTAAAATTTTTTTCTGGAAACCAAGAAAATTTCTAGTAAGTTTTTAGCTGATTCCTTTGAGTCTGTAATGTTTTTTGTATATAATAATACTTTTTATATCTCTTTCAGTATTTAGGACTCATTTCTGTTTCATATCTCATTGCGTGAAGTAGAATTTCTAGAACTATATAAGATAATAATGATTTATTTTCAATAGTGATTTTAATAGAAATGCGTCTATTAATTCATCATTAATCATGATATTGGTAGATAGGTTTTGTCTTATCAACAAAGTATACTTTTATTCTTGTTTTGGAAGAATTTTAAAAATTTAATTGTGTTTTAAACTTTGTGAAATACTGTTTTGATATCTTGTACTAATGACAGTTTATCTGAAGTATTATGGTAATAGATTTCCTATCATTGAGCCTTTTTTATAAGAGTGGTATCAACTCTATCTGGTTACTTTTGATTTGGAAAAGTCCATTTGTGAATATTTTACTTGGGCTTTTCACATTTATATTTGTATGGAAGGATGGATTATAATTTTATCATTGTTTTTGGCCTTTGTGTCATCCTTCTCTTTTCTGATTGTTAATTCTATGTTAATTTCACTTACTTTTTTACATTTTCAAATATATAATATGCAAGTTAGCTATTCCTTGAAAGTTTAAAAAAAGTCACCGTGAAATAGTGTGTGCCTAGCTCTTCTTTTCTGGGCACTTGATTAATGTGTTCTGTTTTTCCTTATTCATTACTTCTTCTTCTTCTTCTTCTTTTTTTTTTTTTTTTTTTTTTTTTTTTTTTTTTTTTTGTCCAGATATGTAGAAACTTCCAGTGTGTAAATGCTTCTGTTTTGAATTATGACTGTGATATTCAGAAAAAGTGTCATGGACATGGGGTAGGTAACACTCTCTTCTGGTTTGTTCATGAAACTAGTGCTGAATCATGAGACTTCTCAGTGAGGGTTAGGCGAGACTTCCCAAGATTTTTAGGTTTTTAGATATTGGGGAATTTAGATACCTGACAAATTTTTCATTCTTAAAAAGAGTGAGTGCCTGTGGATTTGCATGAATTTCATCCTTTTTCTTGGTTTCCATTCTTGAGTTTATGATGTAGATATTCACAATTAACCAATTCACAATATTCACAATTAACCAAAGTGGTTTTTTTTGTTTGTTTGTTTGTTTGTTTTTTTTATTGTTTTGAAGGTATGTAATAGCAATAAGAATTGTCACTGTGATAATGGCTGGGCTCCCCCAAATTGTGAGACTAAAGGATATGGAGGAAGTGTGGACAGCGGACCTACATACAATGGCAAGTATATAGGAGAAAATTAGTGTGATTGTCCAGTAGCCCATGTCAGAAAGTGGGCATCCTTGTACCTTTCCCTTATTTCCCACATTGGTTATACATTAAATATATTGATTCTGCCTCCTAAATTTCTCATGAATGTTTCCATTTTTTTTTAAATCCCTATTCATTACCTTCAATTTCTTGTCTGGACTTACAGGATAGCCTCTTAACTAGGCTCCCTCTTCCCCATCTTGCTTCCTGTAATCCATGTTTCATACTACTTTACAGAATTTTATTTTATTTTATTTTTCAGCTGTTTATTTTATAATTTATATTTATTTTTTAAAATTCAAGTATAACATACAATGTTATATTAGTGTCAGCTGTACAATATAATGATTTAACAATTCTGTCCATCACTCAGTGTCTATCACGGTAAGTGTACTCTTTTTTTCCCTTCCAATTTTTATTTAAATTCTAGGTAGTTAGCATACAGTGTAATATTGGTTTTAGGAGTAGGATTAGTGATTCATCACTTACATATAACACTCAGTGCTCATCATAACAAGTGCCCTCCTTTGGGGACCTGGGTGGCTTAGTCAGTTGACTGTCTGACTCTTGATTTAGGCCCAAATCATGATCCCAGGGTTGTGGGATCAAGCCCTGTGTTGGGCTCTGTGCTGAGTGTGGAACCTACTTGGGATTCTCTTCTCTCTCTCCCTCTGCCCCTCTCCCCCACTTGTGCCCTCTCTTTTTCTCTAAACACAAAAGAAAACAAAAACAAGTGCCCTCCTTAATACTCATCACCCATTTAACCCATTCCCCACCCACCTTAAAAGTCTCTTATGGTTTGTCTCTGTGTCTCTTTTTTTTCCTTCCCATAAGTTCATCTGTTTTGTTGGTTAAACTCCACAAATGAGTGGAATCATATGGTATTTGTCTTTCTCCATTTCGCTTAGCATAATACATTCTAGCTCCATCCACGTCATTGCAAATGGCAAGATTGTATTCTTTTTTTATTGTAATTTAAATTTTTTTTTTTTTTTTTGAGAGAGAGAGATCTAGATAGAGAAAGAGAGAGAGAGAGAGAGAGAGAAAATCCTAAGCAGGCTCCATGCTCAGTGTGGAGCCTGATGTGGGGCATGATCCCACGCCCTGGGATCATGACCTGAGCCAAAATCAAGAGTTGGATGCTCAACCTACTGAGCCACCCAGGCACCCTGTCATACTTTTTGATAACTGAAATATTCCATTACATTACAGAATTTTAGTGTTTTTCGTCAAGAATTCGTTTTGATTATGTCTGTGTTGTGCTTTAAATTCAGTGCTTCTTGGAGTGCCTGAGCGGCTCAGTCGGTTATGCATCCGACTCTTGGTTTTGGCTCAGGTTGAGTTTGAGCCTCACGTGGGCTCTGTGCTGACAGTGCAGAGCCTGCTTGGGATTCTCTCTCCCTCTCTCTCTGACCCTCCCCTGCTTGTGTCTTTGTCTCTCTCAAAATAAATAAATAAACTTAAATAAATTCAGTGCTTCTACATTGCTATTAGAATGAGGTCCAGAAATCCTTAACCTGGCTTAAATGCTTTGCATGATTTGCCTCTAGCTTAACTTTCTTCCCTCCTTTCACTCTGCTTAAGACATGGTAAACTTCTTGTGGTGGCTGGGTGGCTCAGTTGATTGAGGGTTGAGTGGTTGAGTGTCTGACTCCTAATTTTGGCTCAGGTCATGATTCCAGGGTTGTAGGATTGAGCCCTGCATTGGGCTCCGTGCTGACAACTCAGAGCCTGCTTGAGATTTTCTTTCTTTCTCTCTCTCTCTCCAGCTCTCCCGATCCTCTCAAAATAAGTAAATATTTTTTTTTCAACGATTATTTATTTTTGGGACAGAGAGAGACAGAACATGAACGGGGGAGGGGCAGAGAGAGAGAGGGAGACACAGAATCGGAAACAGGCTCCAGGCTCTGAGCCATCAGCCCAGAGCCCGACGCGGGGCTCGAACTCACGGACTGCGAGATCGTGACCTGGCTGAAGTCGGACGCTTAACCGACTGCGCCACCCAGGCGCCCCAAAATAAGTAAATATTTAAAAAAAGATTCTCTCTCTCCTTTCCTCTGCCCCTCTCCCCCAGTCTCGCATGTGTTCTCTCTCTCTCTCTAAAAGGAAAAAAAAAAAGACATTGTAACTGCTTTTGTTTCCTTTAACAGGCTACTCTTTTACCTCTGGTCTTCGTACAGTATTATAGTCACATTGTAGAAACTTGGCTAATTGCTACTCAGACTTCAGTTTATACCTTACTTTTTCTAGAAAGTTTCCCCTGACTGTGTAAATCTGAATAAATGTGCTCTCTTTATTTGTTCTCCTTTTATTGTAAGCACTATCACATTCTATAGTAATTAGTTACTAATTTTTTTTTCCCTGATAGACTATGAATGAGCTCCTTGTTCACCAGTATCTTCCTAGTGAGAATATATGCTTGCTTTCTCTTGAGTAATTACAAAGTAGAATGGTTGTTTATAGAGTGTGCTTATGTTTAGCATTTTAAGGAATTGCCAAACTTTCCCCAAGTGGTTGTACCACTTTATATTCTCCCCAGCTGCATGCGAGGGCTCTAATTTCTCCACATCCTCTCCAACACTTGGTGTGGTCAGTCTTTTTAATTTTAGCCCTTCTAGCAGATGGCTAATTTTAGCCTTCTAGTGTAATAGAATTTCTCTGATTACTAATGATGAACATTTTTTTGTTCACTTATTTGCCATCCACATATCTTCTTTGGTGAAGTGTCTGTTCAAATCTTTTTGTCTGGTTTTTAGTTAGGTTGTCTTCTTGAGTTCCTTATTCTGGATACAAGTCCTTTCTGACATATATCCTTTGTAAATATTTTCTCTTGGTCTGCTTACTTTGGGTTTCATTTGTGGTTCTTTTTCTAGTTTCTTAAGGTAAAAGATGAGGTAATTGATTTGAGACCTTTTTGCTTTGCTTTTTTTTTTTTTAATGTTCATTTATTTTTGAGAGAGACATAGAGACAGTGCTCCTGTGAGAGAGCGGGGGAGGGGCAGAGAGAGGGAGACAGAGGATCCGAAGAGGGCTTTGCACTGACAGCAGAGAGAGCCTGATGCGGGGCTCTAACTCACAAACCCTGAGGTCCTGACTTGAGCCAAAGTTGGACGCTTAACCAACTGAGCCACCCAGGCACCCCAAAACCTTTTTTCTTTTCTAATATAGGTGTTGTAGTGCTATCAGTTTTCCTCTAAGAACTGTTTTTTTTTTTGTATCCCACTAATTTTGATATGTTGTGCCTTTGTTTTAATTCATCTCAACCTAACTTCTAATGTATTTTCATTTTTTTTCTTTGACTCATGAGTTATTAAAAAATGCTTTGCTTTGAAGTATCTGAGGGATTTTTAGATACCTTAGTGTTATTGATTTTCCATTTATTACACCGTAGTCAGGAACATAGTTTATATGACTCAAATACTTGTATATTTTCCAAAACTTGTTTTATGTTCCAGATTGTGGTTTATCTTAATAATTAGTTTATGTACACTTGAAAAGAATGTGTATTCTGCTATCATTGGTTAGAGTGTTTTATAAATAATTAGTTCATGTTAGTTGACAGATGTTTAAGTTTTGTATCTCCTTACCGATTTCTGTATACCTGTTCTGTCAATTTTGAGAGAGGAATATTGAAATCTCTGGTATTATTATAACTGTGAATCTGCCTGTTTGTCATGGAAGTTCTGTCAGTTTTTGTTCCATGTAATGTGAAGCTCTGTTCTGTTGACAAACTGATCCCTTTATCATTATGAAGTAGCTCTCCTTATACCTGTTAATATTCAGTGCTTTGTAATTAGAAATTAATATAGCTACTCCGGATTTCTTTTGATTAATCAGCATGGGAAATCCTTTCTCATTCTATTTTCAATCTACTTGTGTCTTTGTATTTAAAGTGGGTTTCTAGTAGGCAGGATATAGTTTGGTTTTGCTTTTTTTTGTCAGTCTGCCAATCTTTGCATTTCAATTGAGTTGTTTTGACCACTTACATTTATTATTTTTTTTAATTAAAAAGATTTTTTTAATGCTATTTATTTTTGAGAGAGAGAGAGAGAGAGACAGTGTGAGCAGGGGAGGGGCAGAGGGAGAGGGAGACACAGAATTTGAAGCGGGCTCCAGGCTCCGAGCAGCTTAGCACAGAGCCCTAACACGGGGCTCGAACCCACAGACCATGAGATCACGACCTGAGCTGAAGTTGGATGCTTAACCGAATGAGCCACCCAGGCGCCCCATTGACCACCTACATTTAATTTTATTATTGATGTTTGGGTTTCAGTCTATCATATTGCTATTTTTCTATCACAGTCCCGCTTCATGTGATACTTTCCACTTCACTCCGTTGCTTCCCTTTCTCTCCTCCTGGCTTTTGTGCTATTGCCGTCATGTTTTGTGTATGTTATAAACCCTACCATACATTGTTATTATTTCTGCTTTAAACAGTTGGGTATCTTTTAAGGAGGCCTAAATGATAGAAAAGGTCTTTATATTTACCCACATAATTACCATTTCTGGTGGTCTTCATTTCTGAAAATTATATTTCCATCTGGTATCATTCAATTTTTGCTTGAAGGACTTCTTTTCACATTTCTTGTAATGCAGCTCTACCAGGGACAAATACTTTTAGCATTTGTGTATCTTAAAAAGTTTTTATTTTGCTTTCTTTCTTGAATAATAACTGGGTAAAGTTATTATTAACTTAACATTTATTAACTTTATATTATGAAAGGGTGGCAGTTTTTCCCTTCCTCTTCTACTTCTTCACAGATGTTTCTCCATTGTCTTTTGGCATTGCTTTTCCTGAGAAATTGGCCATCATCTTTTCTTTTTTGGTCTTTTGTTTTTTTAGGTGTCTTTTTCACTGTCTGGTTGCTTGTAAGATTTTCTCTTTATCTCTGGTTTTTAGTATTTGGTTATAATGTGCCTTGGTGTGTTTGGGATTTGTTGGAATTTTTGGATTTGTGCTTTTATAGTTTCCTTCAAATTTGGAAAGATTGTGGTCATTATTTCTTCAGATATTTTTTTCTGTCTTTCTTCTTCCCGTTCTTCAGGACTCCAGTTGCATGTATATTTGGGTACTTGGAGTTCTTTAACATTTCACTGTTTTGCCTTGATTTTTTTTTAATTCCTTATTCTCTGTATTTAATTTCAAATAGTCTATTGTTATTCTTCAAATTCATGCTTATTCTCTGATGTTTGATCTGCCATTAATTCCATCCAGTGTGTTTTTATCATAGACATTGTAGTTTTTACTTCTATAAGTTCTAGTTTTTTTCATTACTTTCATATCTCTATGTAGCGTGTTCAATCTTTAGCTTCTTGAACATATAGTTGTAATACAATTATAATAACTTACAGTGTTTTTGTCTACTAATTCTATCATCTGTATCATTTTCTTGATTTTTCTCCTCATTTTGAGTCATATGTTTCTTCTTTGCATGCCCAGTAAATTTTTTTTTTTTTTTTTTTTTTTTTTTTTTTTTTTTTTTTTTTTTTTTTTTTTTTTTACTGGATGCCAGTAACTGTGAATTTTGCCCTGTTGGATACTAGGTATTTTGGGATTTCTATTGATGAACTTTGTTCTTGAGTGCTGATGTTACTTGGACATAGTTTGATCCTTCTGGGTCTTGCTTTTAAGCTCTATTAAGCAGGACTTGAACAGCAATTAGTCTAGGGCTAATTTTGTCCCATTACTGAGGCAAAAAGCCTTCTGTTTATTCCACTCAGTGCCACATTGATGATGAAGTTTTCTGCTGTGAATGGTAGGAAGAGGCACTCTTCCTCATTCTATGTGACCTGTGTGGTTTGTTCCCACTGATCCTTTTAGAGGATTCTTTCTGTGGCTTCAGGTGTTTTCTTTACATGCATACATTGATCAGTACTCAACTAAATATTTGAGAGGGGCCCTTTGCAGATCTTTTAAGTTCTGTCTGTGTAGCTCTCCTGTCCAGTACTTTGCTCCATGAACTCTAGCTGCCTTGGCCTCCTCAGACAACCAGCTCCATCTCCTCAATTCAAGGAGACCACTGAGCTTCCCTCACTGTCATTATGATCTGTTAGCTTTCCCTGAGCAGCAAAGCTCACCTTATTTGTTTTCTCTCAGGGATCACTTTTCTTTGTTACCTGATGTGCCCAATGTCTTGAAAACTGTTGCTTAATGTATTTTGCCTGGTTTTCTGGTTATTTTAGCTCACAGGATAAATCTGGTCCCTGTTATTCCATCTTGACTAGAAGTGGAAAGTTGGAACTATGGACTTCAGTGGCTCTTTATCATTCCATTGAGTGGGTGTGCTATAACTTGACTTAGCTGTTTTCTAGTTATTTGACATTAGGTTTCTAAATTTTTGATATGCACTGATAACATACTAATACTTATGCATTTTTTCCAGTTGAAGGATAGATTGCCAGTAATGAGCTTATTAGGTTGAAGACATAATCCTTTTTATGGTTCTTGACCACAATTCCAAATGAATTTATGTTAATGTCACTGATAGTATGAAGGTATCAATTTCAATATAACCTTGTCAGTGTTGGTTGCTTTAATTTAAATTCTGTCTACTCGTTAGTAAGTATGAAATGAGACATCAAACTGACTTTAATTTTTTATATTCTTATTTTTAATTGGGTTGAATTCTATTTCATGTAGTTTCATATAAGCTTTAACAGAAAGTTTTGGTACTTTTATAAACTTAATATTTTATAGACAACTTTATAGTTTACCACTGCTGTTTATATTTAGTATATTTTTTCTTTTCCTAAAGAACATGGAATATATCAAATTAATATGAATTAATGAATTTTTAAAATTTATAATAAGACTTACAACCTAGAAACCAGAAAAAATAATATTGATAAAATTAAATACCTAAAAACAATAAATGTATGCATAGAGAAAAGCATTGGATCCTAAGACAAATGATAAAATAGGAAAAATATTTCCAACTCATATCACAGACAAAGCTAGTTTCCTAATGTATAAAGAACCTTTAGAAACTGAGAAGAAAAAAACCAATAGTCCAATAGAAAAATAGATTGGATAGAAAAAGAAATACAGTATTTCCTTACACATGAACAGTTGTTTTCCTCATAATATAAAAAAAATGTAAATTAAAATTATATAAGATACAATTTTTCACCTAACAGGTTGGCAAAAGTGCAGAAGGTTGACTCTATGGGTGATACAATGAGGAATTCTTATATATTGCTGGCTGGCATGCTAAATTGTAACCACCGCTGTGGCGGACAGTTTAACAGTGCCTTAAAAAATGATGAATGCCTTTACTCTCTGATACAGCAATTCTACTTCTGCAAAATTATTCTATACATATGGCTGTATCAATATGATAGGATATATATGTACAAGGTTATTTATTATAGCATTTTTTTTAGAATAGCAAAAGATAGGAAAAATAAAAGTATCGGTAGGGCACTGGCTAGATAAACTGTAGGACATCCTTGTAATGGAGTTTTGTATAGCTGTTTAGAAAATGAGGTGGTCCTCTGTATGGTTTGGGAAGATGTACATAGAAGCAAAAAAAAAATGATGTGCTCCATAGTGTTTATGATATGCTACCTTTCGTGTAAGAAAGGGTTGGCAATAAAAGCATACTTTATTTTTGCTTATGTTTGCATGAAGGAATACTGTAAGAAACTAATGAAAGTGGTTATCTAATGGAAAGGCAAAGATGAAGTAGTTAGGGAAGAGGTATAAGCAAGACTTCTCAATGAATTGTTTCTGTCAGTTTGACTTTGAACAATGTGAAAATTAATGTAAAACATTTATAATCACCTAGTATGTTTTAGTTAATATGTGTTAACTTCTAATTTAATGATCATTAATATAAAATTCTTTTCTCTAGAAAAGAGTACTGCATTGAGAGATGGACTTCTGGTATTCTTCTTTGTAATTGTTCCCCTTATTGTGTTTGCTGCTTTTGTCTTCATCAAAAGAGATCAACTATGGAAAAGCTACTTCAGAAAGAAGAGATCACAAACATATGAGTACTTAAATTTTTTTCTTTTAAATTCATAATAAAGAATTTAAAGTAATTATTAATGATGACAGTCATATCATAGAGGTTGGTTTAAAAATAGAGTTCTAAGGGTTCTTTCTATTTTTTTGACATAATTAGCAGAGGTTAAAGGATAGTGGTGATTCAGCCACCTCTTATAATGGTGAGGGAAAAGATTATAATGACCAGCCTGTATGCTACTGAAAATGGCCCTTAGGCTTCATTTGTTTGACATTGATTTCTGATAGTTGGGTACGTATAATTTGGGGCTATAGCTTCTGACTTGAGCTTCTTAATTAGATGTTAAAATATGGGTGAAAGATAAAAAATGTAAATGTCAAAAATTTTTTTCCATGTATATTTCAAGTATCAGTTCTCATAAAGGAAGAATATTTAATACTGAAAACATACTTTGTGAATTATAATTTTTTTAAATGTTTATTTATTTATTTATTTATTTATTTATTTATTTATTTTTACGTTTATTTTTGAGACAGAGAGAGACAGAGCATGAACGGGGGAGGGGCAGAGAGAGAGAGGGAGACACAGAATCGGAAGCAGGCTCCAGGCTCTGAGCCATCAGCCCAGAGCCCGACGCGGGGCTCGAACTCACGGACCGCGAGATCGTGACCTGAGCCGAAGTTGGCCGCCCAACCGACTGAGCCACCCAGGCGCCCCTAAATGTTTATTTTTGAGAGAGAGAGAGAGAGAGAGCATAAGTGGGGTAGGGGCAGAGAGAGAGGGAGACATAGAATCTGAAGCAGGTTCCAGGCTCTGAGCTGTCGGTACAGAGCCCAACGCGGGGCTGGAACTCACAAACAGTGAGATCATGACAGTGAACCAAAGTATGTTGCTTAACCGGCTGAATCACCATGCACTCCTATTTTGTGAATCATGAGTTTTTAAGAAATTAGTTTTGATGGAAGGAAGGGCTATTATAATTCAGACACCTGACATTGCTGGTCTATGTGTTGGACTCCTGCACGACTGTCTCTCAACTATCACTTCTAACATGTTGGCTTTCGAATAGAACATACTAGCATGTTCGAATATAACATATAGCATACTGGCCTTGTAATCAGATCTAACATCTAGCTTGTCATATGCTAGAATTGTGAACTGGAATAATAAATAAAGCTCTCTGAACTTTGGTTTATTTCCTCTGAAATAGGGATAATATTACCTGTCTCTTAGGGTTGATATGAGGATTAAATGGGAGATTATTAACAAAATCCATAGTCCATTGTTAGCATAATGTAATTATTTAAAAATGAGTTTTTATTATAATAAAAATAGTTTATCATGATAATGATTTCTTATTTAATATATTTTGATAGAGTACTCTGATGTGAGTTTTAATTTTTAACGTATTCTAAAACAGATTTATCTCCTATTCTTTCTTTCTCTTACTTCCTGTCACACTCAAACTGACCAATCCATAGATAATTCTCCAGTCTGCATCTCTGAAATTTTAGTTCCATAATCATAGCTCTCTCCCATGCATCTCTATTAAGCTGACTTGCTGTTACCTCAGCATGTCTAAAATTTAATTGGTATCTTTCCAGCCAGCTTGTTTGCTCCTCTTGGACTTCCTAATTTTTAGAGTGACTACTTAACATTTTGTGTATTCAGCCTAAGAATATGCATTTGCTTTTTGATTTTAGGAACGCTTGAAGAGAAAAGTTTGGAAACACTGGCCTAGTTGGCCAAATTTTATAGTTTCTTAGAATTTTAGTTTATTTAATTGTAAAGTGGAGTTAACAAAACTTTCCAGTGCTATAAGGATTGAAAATACGTGAAAGCGGTTAAAAGTGCCATAAAAGTTTTAACTATCATCATGATCATCATTACCACCACTGCAGACATCATTATTCTATATTTGAAAAAATGCAATGTCATTTTCTACGTATCATGTAGAAATGTTCTAATCTTACCTTGGCTGAAAAGTAATTGTCTCTTTCAGATCAGATGGCAAAAATCAAGCGAAAGCTTCTAGACAGCCAGCGAGTGTTCCTCGACCTGTTTCTTCAGTGACTCCTCCCAGAGAAGCTGTAAGTTTCAGACAGACAAACAAAATTTATTATGGTATCACATTGCTAAAAATGAAAAATAATTATTGTTACATGGATATAGAAATAAGCATTGATGATTTCTTTATAATTTAAGAATGTGGTCTCTGGGTAGGGTCCCTGGCTCAGAGAAGTCGGGAGAAGATATGTAGACATTAGGAATGCTTTGTCCTGAAATCAAGATTGGGAAATGACATGGGATCTATACTGTCACTGTGTTTTTCTGTGTCTGCTATCTTTTTGTTTTTTAATGCCTGGCTTCCCTAGGGCATGTGGCCAAGACCTAATGCTGAGCTTCTGCAGTAGGCCTTAATTGTCTCAGTAATGGAAAAGTAAACACTGTTCCTCTGAGTGTTTTAGGGAATACTAGGATAATATCCTTTCTTTTCATATGCATATATCCCTAAAAAATATATGATATTACTTCAAATGTTTTGAACTTCTGGATGTTAACACTTTACCAGATATATGATTTGCAGATATTTTCGTCCATTCTGTCTTCTCACTTTGTTGATAACATCCTTTGGTGCACAAAAGATTTTAATTTTTATGAAGTGCAATTTATCTTTTTTTCCCTTTATTGCTCGTGTTTTGATGTCATATCTAACAATCTATTGTCAAATCCAAGGTCATGAATATTTACTTGTATGTTTTAAGAGGCTTATGATATTAGTTCTTATTATTAGGTCTTTGATCCATTTTGAGTAATTTTTGTATATGATATGAAATAGGGTTCAATGTCATTCTTTTGCATGTAGAAATCTATTTGTCTTGGCCCTATTTGTTGAAGAGACTATTCTTTCTTCATTGAGTGGATTTAGCACCTTGTGGAAAAGCAGTTGGCCATAGATGTATAGGTTTCTTTCTATACTCTCAGTTCTATTCATTTGGACTGTATTTCCATCATTATGGCAGTTCTACATGATTTAATTATTGTAGAGCTATGAGTTTTGAAATTGCAAATTGTGAGTCCAGCAACTTTTTTCTTCTTTTTCAAGATTTTTTGTTATTTAAGGCCCCTTTGATTCCATATGATTTGGGAATGTACTTTTCCATTTCTGCAAAAAAGGCAGAATTTTGATAGGTGTTGTGTTGGATCTGTAGATCACTTTGGGTTGTATTGACATATCATGACAGTGTTGAGACTTTGAACCCATGAACACCAGTTGTCTTTGCATTTATTTAGGTCTACTTTAATTACTTTCAGCAGTGTTTTGTAATTTTCAGTATGCAAGTCTTCAACCTTCTTGGTTAAGTTTATTATTAGGTGTTTTATTCTTTTGGATGCTATTGTAAGTAGAACTGCTTTCTTAATTTCCTTTTTGGATTTTTCATTGCTGATTTTGCATGTTCATGTTACTTCCTGTATCTCTGCTGAATTCATTTATTAGCTTTAGTAGCTTTCTTGTGGACCCTTTGGGATTTTCTGTTACATAGGATCATGTTATTTGTGAATAGAGGTAGTTTTACTTCTTTCTGACTTGGATGTCATTTATTTCCATAGTTTTCTTGTCCAGTTGCTCTGGCTAGATCTTCCAGTACTATGTTGCATAGCAGTGGTAAAAGCAAGCATCCTTATATTCCTGATCTTGGGAAAGCTTTCAGTTTCCTTGGCATATTAAAAAAAACCTTTTTTTTTTTTTTGATGTTTATTTATTTTTTGAGAGAGAGGGAGCAGGGAGGAGGCAGAGAGAGAGGAGGAGGCAGAATCTGAAACAGGCTCCATGTTCTGAGCTATCAGCACAGAGCCCAATGTGGGGCTTGAACCCACG